AGAGCACCAAGCAGTGCAGATCTAAAGGAGACTTTGATCAGGAAGAGACAGTATGTTCCCAGGGCTGGGCCTGGTTATCCAAGGGGAGGACTGCACTGGGAAGGCCCAAAACCACACAGCTGAGCTGAGGGATGGGTCTAGCGCCACCAGACTCTAAGGTTTACAGGAGAATAACAAAAAATGTGAGACTACTGAATGTGAGTGGGCCAGGCAGTATACTAAAAACTTAGGTCCACCCCATGATCATCCCACATAGCAAAGTAAGTGAACAACAGTTGATAATCCAATGAAAACAATTAAAAGGGAATCTGGGACTCCAAAGTTAACATGCAGAGAGGGCAAAGTGCACCCCTGGCTGAGATGAGGAGTCTCAGTGAGACAAACTGGCTTGATTGATTCATTCAAGGAAGTGTTCCTTTGACATGTCTACCCTGCCATCAGCATGCTTGGAATCACACCAGTGTTGGTGCTCTGAAGTCAGCTAACCAGCAGTCTGCTTCCCACTGCCATAAACCCAGGGATCCTAATAAGGCCCAGAATAGGGCTGCCAACCCCACTTTCAGGGAAAGGAAAGGTCTACTCAAAGCAAAGGAGCCAAATTGCAGCATCTCCAACTACTCAGCAGAGCCCTTCCTCCCTTCCAGACATAGCCATAGCAAGACCAGCACACAGCCCCTCCTGTCATCCCTATTTGATGAGTAGTTCATATACAATTGGCACTTGCATAAGGAAAACAAGCGGCTCCAGAGAGAAGAGAAAAAGGGACACTTGGGGTAGAGGCCACTTGAGAGCTCTGTACACAAACTGAGAGTGTGCAGGCTCCCCTTAGCTATTTAACCTGTGAAACCATAGCCCAGGACATAGGACCTCATAAATCTACTCCAGCTCACAATCAAGAGCACTGACCACTTTCCCTCTCTAATGATCCTCTTATGGAAACATCTGACATTTCCCTCTTGCTTGTACCCAGAGAGTTGCAGGAGCATCTAAACTGTAATTAAGGCTATTCAGAGAGAAGCTAAATCCATACTGGCAGAATAAGTAGAGGCATTTGCCACCAAGCCTGATGATCTGAGTTCAATTCCTTGGGATCCACATGGCAGGAACTGGGATAAGACAAATCCAGTCCTTGCCTTTATAAACTTCCCTGGTATCACATAAGAGAACGGGGCCTCCAGTTGTCTATGAGGCAGGTCAAGTCTGAGAAAAGGAAACCTTAAGGCTGTGTGGGAGTTGTTCAATCCAGGACACAAGCAAAAATGGTAGGGAGGCAGAATGTTTTGATAATCACTGGCTTAGCTGTTCCCACATCTTTTTTCCCCACTGGGGTATGGGGTAGGTGGGTTTTGAGACAGGAACTAACACTAGTCCAGGCTAGCCTCAAACTTGCAATGATCCTTCCAAGTAAGGGATGACAGGCATGTACCTTAACACCTGGCTTTCTGTGCAGGAGGTGCGGAGGAGATACACAAGCCATGTGGGTCCTCTGCTTTGTCCTCATGGAGTTCACAGAAGCATATCTCTAAAACCAGTAACTACAGCTCAGTGGAAAATTCCATGATAGATACACCCAGGGGGTTAATGGGTAGGCAGATACAGGATTCCAATCATCAGGGATGGGGAGAGGAGGCAAGTCAGGAAAGCCTGAAGTGGACACAGAGCCAAATCCTGAAGGACAAGGTGTCAGCCAGGCAGGAGGAAGCTGAGAAGAGGGAAGGCAGGCAGGCAGGCAAAGAACAGGATGTGGGGAAGGTGGCAGCAGAGCTACTTGTCCTGTTTGAGGCAAGCGGCAAAGGAGACTCCCAGCAGCTGTCAGCTTGTGAGGGTTCAACAGTGTGGAAAGCCAGCTCTATCTTTAAGGTTTCTGCAGTCAAATGAGGTCAGGCAGCTCTGCACTTCCTCTAACAGAGCCCATTAAAAAGAAAAATGAAAAGCTGCTAAGCCCAGATGTGGAAGAGCAGGCTTCATGAGGTCCCCTGGAAACAGATCCCCCTGGTGGACACAAATCACTGAGTTACATTTGGAAGACTTTGACTCTCTGGGTCTAGAGCAAATAAGGAAAGCCATACATGAAAGTGTACACCTTTAATCCCAGCACTCAGGAGGTTCTCTGTGAGTTCAAGGCTGGCCTGATGGTCTACACAGTGAGTTCTAGATCAACTAGATCAACTTGGGCTATACAGTGAGACCTTGTCTAAAAAAAAAAAAAAAAAAAAAAATAGAGAGTTCAACAGACAAGCAATCAATTTCTTTGTCTGAGCTGTGGGATGTCAGAATACTACAACATTTGTACAAAGTCTCAAAGATTGGGCAACAGGGCCCCTTGGTTACACCATCCCTCATCCTGCCTGCATAATCAGGCCCTCACCTGATACTGGCTCCAGTCAATGTTCAGAGAGTGAGTCAGGAAGCCAGGGATGTTCAATGGGGCATCAACGTAGTCCTGAGAATAGAATGACACTGAGATGTAATTGGCCAGCAGATGTAGTTATGGTAACAATAGGTTCCAGCCATGAAGCTGTATCCACCACAGGTAGGCCAGCCCTCCACGGCACTTGTCTTCTCTGGGTCAGATGCCTAGGGTACTCTGGAACAGATAGCTTAAAAAGCAAAGTGACCAGGTCACTATAGCTGAATGGACTTTATCTGTCAGACACTGAAGTTTTTGAAGCTTCAAGAATCAAGGGCAAGCAATACTCAGCCTCTGGAAGCTCCCTGTGCATGATCTGCTGCTGGAAGAAACACTGCTTCCAGTCTTTACACAGAGTGGAAGAAAAGTAAGGTCCTTTCCTGACTTGGCTTTGAAGACTTTCCTTAATGGCCAGGCAGCCATGAAAAGGACAGAGGAAAGGGTGTGCGGTGAGACATTAACACATACATGCAAGCAGCAGAGGAAGTGGAAGAAAGTGAGACAAATGTAGGCAAGAATAAAACAGAAAAGCATAGCATTTTCCCAAAAAAAAAAAAAAAAAAAAAAAAAGACTAGCTCTTTGTGGCCTCGTGTTAGAAACACAGTTGAATATTGTTACTCATACCTGCTTCCAGTTAAATATGAGCCCTTCAGCCATGTAATCCCGATCCTTATATTCCTTGAAGAATTCACAGCCTGGAAAAGAAGACAAAGTTATGGTTGTCTTCAACACCCTGGCCACCTTTGAACCTAGGTGTTGAGAACTCGGGAGTCACAAGGTCACCAAGCTTTCCACACTGGTGGCTCTGGACAGTCTGGGGCTGACTGATATGGTGAGATCCAGAGCCAGAGCAAGCTCCAGGCATCACTCTACTTCCAGCTATACAAGGTCACAACTGTCTTTACACTATCTGTGTCCTGAACACTAGAGACACCTCTCTCACCACAAGTCCCTTTATCCTCAAGTTTCTTGTACCAATTCTGGCAGATAAAGGCAGTGCTCATACCAGGAGTCAGCTTTCTTGTAAAATTAAGGCATCTTCTTAGCAAATAAGGGTAGCAAATACAGGTTTCAGAGAGGGCTACATGTCCTTACTCCAGAGAGACATGACAGTGCCTGCAAGCTGACAAGCGTTCAATGGACACCACTACTGTCAACCCAGCAAGTTAAGGGTACTTTCTCCATCAAACTTCCTCAGAAACGACCAGCTTGAGGCCTCGGCAACATAGGGAGGAACTATGCAAGGAAGAAGCTTTAGAAGCAGTCTCAACTTCTAAGTACAGTTTTTACCCACACCAGTTGACACAGAATAAGTTGTGGGATGGCTATTTAGGCTGAAATGCAGTAATACATGTAAGACAGTTAGTTGCATAGCTGCTCAGGTACCTGTGACATTCAAGTGAAATACATTAACTGACTCCATACTACTCTTGTGACAGGAACTCTTAGTGCCAACCTCTTGACTAAGAAGTCAACCAGCTTTTTTTTTTTTTTTTTTTTTTTTTTTTAAAGCAGGTGTTTATGTAGCCCTGGATGTCCTGGAACTGGCTATACAGACCATCCTAGCCTTGAATTCACAGAGATCCATACCTGCCTCTACCTCCTAAGTACACCACCATGCCAGACTTGGTCAAACTCTTGTTCTGCAGTAGCATCCAGCTGCCTTGGTCAGAGATGAGGCTTGCCCTTGGGTTATGTATGACCTGCCTTTGTGGGGTGACTATATCCATTTTGCTGAGTGGGCTCCTGTGGCATCAAGTCACATGGGGGGTGGGGTGGGAGAATAGCTTCTTAAAGTTACTGAGTTCATCAGCTAATGAGTGTGCAGATTTTCACAGGCATGTGGCTTTGGTACACCAAGTCCAATGAGGGCCCTTAATTCTGTGAGAAACCAGAGGTGGAATACTCAGAACTCTATAGTATCTAGGCTTGCCTCAGGGCAAAAAAAGATGATCTTTGTGGAGAGAAAAATGGGGACCTACCTCATGTGCCCAACTTTGCTTTCATTTCATAATAATCCCCCAGCCTCAACACTGAGAAGTCAGGAGATAATCTTCAGCCATAATACTTCAGCCCATTTTAGGGTGCCTCACCAGGAGAAACAACAGTTGTAACTATCAGGCAGGGGCCTTGAGCTTATTAGCCTGTACTAAGAGGAGACATCAATTATCTCTTAGGGCACCGTGCTCTGCTTTCCCAAATCCAGACTTGCTAGATCAACTCCCAGGCTGAGTTATGATGAAGCCTATGACACATACACTATTTTTGTCAGAACTGACAAAACAGAGTTGGTACCGAGGGCCATGCCTGATGTCATTATTACAACAGGCTTCTGGACCTACTAGCAGGCAACATAGTTAAAGACAAAAGCAGGAGATAATGACCACTCACTCCAAAAGAAACAAATTAGTTTTGTGTGGGTGGAGTTTGGCCCCATTTTCATGCTCTGAAGAAGAGTTGGGAGCACTGCCCATCTCCAGTATATGTTAAAGTGATACAATCAATCCTTAGTGCCTGTATGAGCCTTGAAGTCCTCACAGCACCCAAGTGACAGTCCTTAAAGGTCAAAGGTATGGCCTTTTTTTTGGTGTGAAGTTCAGACTCCCAGACCTGTAGTCATGCTCCATGGATCATATATCACCTGTGTCATCACTGATCTAACACCACCTTTTTCTTTCTATAAAAGGTATGATTTTCAATAACTGATTTTGTTAAATGACACAGGCATGACAAAAAAACTCAACACAAGCATGTTAACTAAAAAGTGTTTCTCTCCTGTCTTACCTCCTTAATGGCTGTGTCTGGCTATTTTTTATTTTGGATTGTCCCTTGCACCCTCCTCCCAACTCATAAAACCATCAGATGAAGTACATAAAAATTTGGGGGAGAAATTCAGACCAATCTATTTTATGCCATCTTTCCTACTCAAATCTCTAAGTACCATTCCTTAACACAATTGGGAATATCAACTAAATTATTTCTCCTCACCTTCTATTAAGACAGGGTCTCACTATGTAGCTCTGGCTGGCCTGGAGTGGACAACACAGAAAAGGCTTGACCTTGAATGTATGGTGACCCTCTGCCTCCGCCTCCCACATGCTAGGATTCTAGCTGTTTGTACTGTGTGCTCCTGTTCACTGTACTGAGCACCATTCTATTATGAACTATACTGCTCTATGGATGGAAGTACAATCATTTACTTAATTCCCATTCTGTTTAATGAGACTATGCCCTTTATTTTGCTATTACAGGAAGATGTCACATCAAGTATTTTCAGCCCTAAGCCAGATGGACTGTGGCCCAATGAGACAGGTTAACAAAGGAGGTTAACATCTGAGGAATCAGTGGTAACTTGCCAAACTACATACAAAGAATCCCTGCACTACTGCTATTGCAATGACTCAATGGTACTAACACTTGTAGCATAACTACTTTCCCTAACTATGCCCTTTTTGGAACTTAGATAACAAGCATATGGATGCCTGATCCTCAGGAACCACATCGCATGACATGGAGTAGCTGAGGCTATAGCTCCCTAGTAGCCTCTCCTGGGAGGAGGATACTAGATCTGAAGGAGCTGCAGAGCCACAGATGGCTCTAGCACAGAACACAAGGGCATCGAGTGAGGAATGGATTTTTCTGGAACAAGAGACCTTTGCCAGTGTGTGGATCCAGAACTGTCAAGCCCAGTGGCATCTTCGTAACCTATATCAACCCAGAGTTGCTCTTAAGCAACAGAAGGTTTAAAGAGCCTTTCTGCCCACAAATTCCTTATTAGGACTGTAATTTACAGAGTCTATTAGGGATGGGTCTCTCACTTTATTCTGAAACAAGTGTCATTATTCTCATGTTATGAAGGATGAAAATGATGCTCAAAAAGGTTGAGGGGCTGGCTCAAGGGCACCTAGTGCCAAGGGCAAGGCACCAAACACAAAGCTGGCAGAAAAGAGTCATAGACTGTATGGAGGACACTGAGTATACCCGATCAAGAGTGGATCTGAAGACCACACAAGAAGTAAGCTGAACTTGCAATTCTATGAAAGGCTATTTCAGCCTTCTCTTTCTATTGGCTATGTGGATCTGAGACTAGGAAGTAAAGCCCAAGCCCAAACTGAAGGAAGAGGTCAATGAGAAGTGGGAGAGGTTAGGGAGGACAGTCCTTGATATGACTGACAAAGCCTGGCACTGTTGTTCAGTGACTAGGTAGGGGTGGTAGGGAACTAGAGTACCACATAGCTTCAGTTTCCAGTGTGAGAATACAGCCTGGCCACAGAGGATTGTGTGACAGAGATGCAAAGTGGCTCTATGGATACCAAAGTGCCCTGCAATATTGGGAGGTTCCTATACAATTACTGATGATACTTTTTGGTTTTCTGCCCCACAAACGACATTGTCTGGGGTAATACCCACCAGTAGTTCTCTGGACATACATGAGTCGATACACAGTATATGGGCCAAAGCAGCATGAATGATGGCTGTGTATGAACATGTCATTTCCTCTTACATGAATAGGCTATATGGATATGCAAGTTCTAGTCTTTTCTGAGTCCTGACATATGTGAGGGAAACTGAAGTTCAGAGAAGTAACTTTCTCAAGGCTCATGAATACCAAGACCAGGTTCCACCCCTGTAAACTACTCCCTGTACAAACATACAAGTCTTCAGGATCCTGCCTGACCCTCAAGCGTGGCTGCTGTGACCAGGGGCCCAAATGTCCATCCTGCCTGATACAGAATCTCCCAAACAGCTTCCAGGACACCCAAGCACAGCAAGCTTGACCCTGGTCTCCTACCTGGATATGGGATAGAGAGGAGAGTGAAGTCTGCATAGCGCTGGGCTTTGTCCACTTTCTCAGAGGAGGTTACACTATAAGACAGGGACATAATGTGTTATTGCATCCCAATATACACAAAAACAGACTGTTTTCCAAATGAATGTTACAGTTTCTTACAATTTTTTGCTAAAAAGCTGTCCTTCAGATTTAGGAATGACACCCTCAGCAGCAAACAATTAAGAACTCTTCCCTATCCCCACTTTAATAACTCAAATAAGAGATCTTTTTCACTCTAACAAAGCAGCAGGCCTCAGCCAGTACCCAGGATTTGAGGATAAACTTCCATATCATCAGCTCCATGGAGGCATGAGGCACATCCACTCTTGGTCCTGAGGGTGGGACAGAGCCGGACAGTAGGAAGGACTTCTCTACCTCCAAAGGCCACTCCTAAACATGGGAACATGTAGCTGAGAGTAGTTGCACACTTGTCATCCCAGGATTTGGGAGGCAGAGCCAGAAGGATCCTCACAAATTCAGGGCCAGTGTGGGCTACATAGCGAGTTCAAGGCCAGCCTGAGCCATATTTCAAGACCCTATCTCAAAAATACAAAGAGCAAAACAAAATAAAAACAAATAAAAAGCAAAATAAACCATATAAAATCCCCCACCAAACAAATAAAAAACAAAACAAAACAAAAAAACAAAAAACAAAACAAAACAAAACAAAAAACCAAACCAAACCAAAACAAACAAACAAACAAAAAAAACCCACCAGGCCAGGAAGATGGCTCAGCTGGTAAAGTACTTGCTATATCTGCATGAGGACTGGAGTTCAGATTCCCAGCACCTATGTAAAAAGCCAGAAGTGGCTGTAAACACCTGTAATCACAGTGATGTGAAAGAGACAGGATCTGTTGACTTTCTAGCCAACCAGGCCAGCTGATGGTGAGCTCCATACTTATTGAAAGACTGTCTTGAAAAAAATCAGGTGAAGAATGACTGGGGAACATATCCGATGTCAATCTTTGGCCTCCATGTGTACCAGCACATACGTGTGTATGAAGACACTGTTTCAGGACTGTTTCAAAATGCAGTGAGAGAGGCTGCACAGACAGCCTTCACACAAGCCCCCCATGCCAGAATGGCCATGAATAGGCCAGTCTTGCAAATTGTGAACACACGGTCTGAGCCTACTTCATGCCAGATGCCCTGTACTCACTTCATGCCAAACTTCACCTTCTTGTTCTCCACCATCAGGTCACAGATGTACTTGACTGACAGGTATCGAAGCAACCTGATATCATAGCCTCTCACCTTATCAAAAAGGTGTGTGTCACCACTTCTGAAATAAATAGCCAGAGAAAGCAGTTGAGATCCATGTTGACTCAGCAGTATGGGGTAAGGAGATATTTTAGGAAGTATGGACATAAACCTGTGTTCAATTCTCCAGAAGTCAAAAGGAGAGAGTAGAAAAGGTGACTTTCCAAGAGATTATCCCTATCTTGGGACATGTTTCAAAGAAGAACAATTTGCAGCCAGAGTGGGAAAGGGCTTTCTGCACTGCTTGACATTAAGCCAGAAGACTCAAGATAATCTCAGTTCTAAAAAGCATCGGGCTGTGGCTCAGACTCTTTAAGCTTCCATTAGAGTTCATCTCCACCTCCCTCTTTTCCTTCAATTTAGAACCATTTTTAGCCATATGCCTTTCAAAATTAACAGACTGAAATTCTTCAACAGATAAAGACTTTTTAGGGTGATTTGACCAATTGATTGTGAAATACTAGGTAAGTGAATTCCTTCTACTTACCAAGCCTTTGAAGCAAGGAGGAAAAAATATTCTCAGGCTACTTTCTGTTTAGCCATGCAGATATGGTAGCAGTAGAAATAGTAAACAGTCACTGAAATGTGTTTTTTAATGTCTGCTTCTTGGTCACTGTGAATAGTCAGCTGCCTCCCTGAGAAGTATGCTGTAGATGATCTGGCCAAGGCAGAAGTCACCTGACCTCAACCAAAGCCAAACATTCTTGAGCACAAGCCAGAGCTACTGCTTTCAAAGCCAACTGAAGAACTTGGGCATAGCTAAGTACCAGAGCCACAATTTGGGCAGCTGATCTTACTAGGGTGCTCATGTACATTCCAGCGATGCTGGATACCAGCTAAAGACTTTCCATGTGGTAGCAACCACACAAAGAAGATTTGTAGGCTTGTTCAGTTAAAAAAACATTTGAAAGGAGTAGAGTGTGAAGCAGCCCATTTTTTCTCTTTAAAGGAAATTCAGTGCTGCATGTTTGTAAGTCCTGGAGCTTGGGAAATGGTGACAGAACCAAGAGTTCAAGGTCACCCTTGGCTACAAAGGAAATTCAAAGCCAAATTGGACCTTGTCTCAAAATGCCAAAAAACAGCCAGACATTATGGTTTTATGAAACTATATCAAATGTTGCCCCCACCCCCAAACACACACACACAAAGGAGGAAAAAAGAAGGGTGTGTGTGATTCAAAATGCAACTGTGGGCTACTATGGCTACATGAGGTCTTTACCCCAGCCCCGTAATTCAGTGCTGGTGTGCTGTGTGACAACTGGCAGGTTACACTTAGCAGAACAGCTGCATACTGCCACTCTGAAGGGCTCTAAACAAAGATGGACATCTCTAGGGCTGACTTCAGACCAGCAGCACAGAAAGCCTGAGGTCATCATGTGCTATAATCCTGGCTGTAGACTGCTCATGTGCCCATTAGTGTTTTGATGAAGCTACTAGGAGGACTTCGACAGTGCTATTTTGAGGATATGGAGTTGGAAGACAGGGGCAAAGAGCCAATTCACTTATCCAGATTAGAGATGAATACCCACTGCCAGAAGAGCATGGCTGTCAACCAGAAACCCATCC